TGCAAAAATTGGCGATTAGGAGGGAGTGATAGCCATCAACACAATAGTGCGAGCCACCGATAGGGAGGTGGAGCATTTGCAGTTCAAGTGTTTGCACTACTTCACATCCCTCCCGCAGTACAGGCGAAGCCCAAAATAAACGAAGAAAAGGAGAATAAGGGAAACACGGATTTGCATTGAATATATAGCGACTTCAACGCATGAAAAGTCGCATTGTTGTTGGAGTAAAGGTGAGAGGAGAAGGAAAAGTGCATTGGGAGCGATCACAAGAGTTGTGGTTGGGAAAGACTTGGCCGGACAGTGCAGGTGGGGAAGGAGAGGCTGATTTGCAGAAAGGAAAAGCAGAAAGGGAAAGCAGAAGCAAGTATTGCTGTCATTTACGTAAGGGGCAATGTAGTGGTCGCTGTGCTGGCAGCGGTTAGGGACGAAAGGGCGGATCAGATGGTCTGGGAGGGAGGTATTCATGCTTTGGTCACACCTCCCGCTCCTACATAAAAACAAAACAACAAACAAACATGTCGGTCCGTGCAGTTAGCAAAATAAGTTACGGAGATGCGTGTGTGTAAGTGACAACCAAATGTCGACGTGGGACAGCAAACAAACATAGGCTTACCAGCCTTTGAAGTTTTGATTTCGCCGAGGCGGTTCATCAATATAAGTTGGCCCCAGAGCACTGACATCTCCCAGTCGTACACTGTGTCGGGTTGCAACCCGCCGAGAGTGACTGATCCAACATTGAAATCACCAAATTTCTCAACTACGAATTCATCTGGCTTTCTTGACTTGAGTGTCATAACCACTAGAGTTGGAGTGTATCCGTCCAAGGTGTGTTTATCCCAGCTTAGCCGGACGGACTGAGGACCCACGTTACTCCATCGAAAGTGTTGCGGAAGAGGCGTCATTTTATACACTGCAAGAAAACCATCAAACCTTCCTCGTGTCAATCCCTTCCACATAGCCACAGGAATGTCCAAACTTCACCCCTAACGACATGCACACAGCTACTGTGGTGGTGGTGGTCAAGTGTACAGCACCGCGCTTATTCCTGACAAGTGTAGAGTTTTGCCTACGACTGGGAGGTTGGGAGAGGAGATCAGGTGGTCGTTGGGGTGCTTACATTTCCTCTTTTTTTTTCTATGTCGCCTTGTCCTACGTGGGGGAGAATGTTTCTTTCTGTGCCTTTTGTAAGTCCTGACAAATGGCTTACCAAAAGTGGCAACGGAAGAGCAACTGAAGCACTGACTTGGGACAACAAAAAAAACACCCACTTACCATACTTCTTAGTTCTGATTGTGCCGATGTGATTGAGCACTTCCTCTTCACCAGCGCTTACAGTCAGTATCACGTAGTACAGTGTGTTGGGATGCAGTCCTTCAAGAATGACTGTTTTGGCGCTGAAGGCAACCTGTTTTTCAACTCTTTGTAAGGAGGAACTTCTTGGTATGACAAAGAGGTGAACTTGATCTGGTGTGTGGCCGTTCACCTTGTGGTCATCCCAACTTAGCTGGATGGACTGCGAACCCACTTGGCTCCACCTAAAGTGTTGCGGAAGGGAAGACCCAATGTCTGAAAACAAAACAAAAGAAAAAGATACCACGAGAATGCCTAAATTTCAGCCCAAGCAAAAAGCACGCAGCGACGTTGGTTATGAAGGGAACAGCACTGTGGTTAATCCGCCTTCCTGCTCCCCTAAGTGCAAGGGTGCTAACATGTGTCGGCCTTCGAATTGACGCTCAACACGACGACAGCACATGCGTGAGCAATGGGGGTCGAGAATGCTAATGTCTTTGTACACGGCCACATTAGGTGATGAGATGTAGTGAACTTGCTCTGACAGGAACACTTGCATGTGTTCCTGTGAGAGAACAGGAGGAAAGGGGCACCTTACCGCTCTTGCCATTCACTCCACTCCCCAAAACGAAGACCGTCACGAAGATGAGGCAGAGATTGAAGACCATCTTGGCTCCACTAGTGCTTGGCACTCACAATCCGCAGTGCATTTATAGGAGTGCTCTCCACCACTAGCACATGCCCTCTGTGCTTCACCTTGAAGGTCACCAATGTGCTTGGACCGTTCCCCTCGGCTTGGCGACAAAGCGCACAAAGAAGAACTATGGGCCAACCAGCGCCTCTAATTCGCGTAGGGAAATTCGGAGTTGCCCACCCATCTCCTTCAATCTATTGCTCAAATTGTGACTTACATTAACCACCCTCTCAAGACTGCGCAGCATCACTCTAGCCACAACTTCGTAACTGCAGCACAGCTTTCAGTTCGATATCTACGGCACTGGAGACGAGGTTAGTTTGGGTGGGAAGGGCGATGCATGACATTTGCCATGAGGTGGGAGTTCTTGAGCCCACACCCATAGTCATGTGCAGGATGGGGCTTTGACACGGAAAACGGTCACTTGGATGTCACTCTTCTTCGCGACTTCATCTTGCCGTTGAAGAGGGAACGGCAAGGCCATTACTGGGGCATCGAGGAAGCTTCAGTCTCGCTACACATCTTCCACATCGCAAACCCAATTTGCAACCAATTTACCTTCTCGTGTACTACTACTACTACTATTACTTCTTCTTTCACCACAATTCATGCTCAGTGTGTGTTGCAGGTCGTCACGTTGCAGGTTGGAATAAGTGCAAGTAGGCGACCGTAACGACAGCCCATTACATGTGCATGTTGTGGGAGGCTCACTTCGTCCTCTTCACCTCCATGTGACTCATTCTTACGTTTCTTTTAGCATCTCTTTCAGGCACTCACGACGTGATAGTATTGACGAGAAGTGCATGACACACTTCTTTGTTATGATGTCCGGACTATCTCCTGATGTCTTCCAGTTGTTCTTTTCCACCTGAATGCATACACACACATTTGGTTATGCTTCAATGGGAAATGTGAAATGACGCTCCACTGGTTGGACAAAGCAATTTGGGGTGTCAGTCGACGCCTCCAGATTTACGATTGTCCGAATTTGAGGTTGTTGGATGTGCATGATGGATTAGCATGCAAGTAATTCTCCCTCAACGGGATGTTAGTAACAACATTAGAGCCAAAACTACTTAAATTGGCGAATCGCGACAGGTTTAGTCGTCCAATGTCCTAATGCCCCACAATCCCTCCCCACATCTCTTCCCACTTACTTTACTCGCACTGCATTTTGCGGTGACACTTCGAAGTGCGATCTCTCCTTCGGGAATTCCTGCTACCTGGCGCAAGTAAGTCGGAGTAGAAGGAGAGAACACTCGCGCGTCACGCAGTTGCACCGCTCATAAAATCATCACGTAACTAATGCGGTACTTCACTTCACGGCTGCTAAGTCCTCTCGCAAGTTCAAGTAGTTGTAGCGTCTTGACCAACTGGGATGCTGGGCCTTTGGAGGCGATAGTAATTGGCCAAAACACGTGCCTCAAGCTGGACGTGAGAACACTGAATTAACGCCAGGAGAAACGAGATAACTAGCACATTTCTGTGTGGAGAAGGGTGCATGGTGAGCTCTTGCTCACCACCTTCTTCTCTTCATTCCAAAGCTTTCATCTCATGATTTGCACTAATTGACCCTCGTCTACGATAAGGAAAGAATGATGTCCAAACAGTGAAGTAGTTGTGCCGCTCCGCACTTCGCACCTAGGCACGGCGGTACGGATCGCTCATGGTGTCTTGAAGAAGGCGTAATGCTTGCCTCTCTCGCCTTCACGGCAGATCGAAGTGCAGACGCTCAACGTGGACAGGTTGGCAGATAATGCGACCGAGTGTGTCATGAGATGAGAGGGGGACTTGCGAAAAGTTTGCAATGCAGCACGCGAGTAGCTTCAATAGGCGCATACCCGACAAAAGAGGTTCTGCCACAGACACGTCAGAATAGATATTGACAAGGCTCTTCACCACTTGGTGCTTGGGGTTACCGGAAATGTCTACAATCACACACACTCCACTTCACTCCACATATGATAGGAGTGTCCGCTGCCGCTATAGGGCGATTGGCATCGGACAGACAAATTGTCCAGCAATGCATTGCAGAATGGCAGAAAACGAAATCCATTGTCATAGGTGATTGTGGATGCTGGGGAACTGAAAGTCTGCACTCACCATGGCACAGCATCCTTTTACAACCGACCTGCATTTGATGGTCCCTGCAGACCCTTTGATTTGCATGTTCGTCCAAATTCCATCTAATCTTACCAAGAGACAACACTGCGTAGCCGCACTCTAACACTCCGTACTGATGTGATCGTGAGTGGAGGATGTACTTTGGGGATGGCATCAAAGACAAAGCCACACTGACACATTTGATGATGACACCAGTGACAACCAAGCATCTCATTTGGTGAATCCAACTCTTGTCTGTCTACTGCGCGTAGTGAATAACATTTAGTGTTGACCGAACCCCGTTGTCACGGTGAAGTTGTCTACTTTGGCACCCTTGCACATTTCCCCCAACACTCCCCCGCTTTGGGTGTCGCTTAAAGTGATTGTGACCTCGACAAGTCATGCCGTTCTTTGACAACGCTACACGTAATGAGGAGACACGTGCTGCATTGTGAATGAGATCAAAGGCTTGGAGATCTGAAGCTCGCGTGACGTCGTCGAAGGTCTCAGATGAAGCCACACTCACACCACTTGACATGCACATGCGGACACACAAGCAAACAAATTTACCAGCCTTTTGTGATGCGCCAAGCATCAGCATCGCCATGTAGTCAATCAGCAGAAGTACCTAACACACGTAGAATTCCAATTTTATTATATCATGTTTTGCTTTTTTTGTCCTCCCTCACCAGTGCATCTTTCTGGTCCCACAATGCCACCGTGACCTCAGCCATGGTAACAGGAGTGAGGTGACACACATGTTTTACAAATAAGTGAACCGCGGTTACGTGCACTTTTAGCCGACGTGCATACTTGTTTCTGTGCCCTCGACCCTATGGCATTAGAAACACCTTAAGAGTTGTGCACACCAATCACAAACCTCACGAAATGCCAGCGTTCTCTTCCACCTTTCCCTACTTCCGTTTGTCACACCACCGCGCATTGCATTTGGGATGGAGGTTGCAGTCTGAGGCTCGGCTCGACCTACTCTCGAGCATTGCAGATTGGGCTTGTGACTTGCATTCGCGGTGGTTTGCGTAATCAGCCAGAGTTCGTCTAGCGTATGGATGGTGAGATGAGAAGGTGGTCGTAATCACTTGGTGCCAACTTGCTGCGTTTTCTGTGACAGCATCGATTGTTGGATGGGCGACAGACACTCGTACGCTGCTCCCTAATTTATTGTTACTCATGAGGTGGTGCCTGTGCCTTAGGTTACGGTACGAGAAGTTGAGTAGGCTCGCTAAACTCATCCGCTTGGGACTTCTTTCCTCAAGATGTCTGCCTTATCGGTTATGGCAAGGACCGTGGAAAAGGCACTAGACCTTGTTGCCACTTTTGACTAAATCACGTGGGAAGTTGCCCTCAATCCTTTGGCATTAGGTGTGTTCTGTTGGAGTTGCGTTGCTCTAAACACTGTAAAATTTACCACTTTGGGCTTATTTGTGTAGGGAATAAGGAGTGATCCGTTGGTGTTGGTTGTCGGCAACCAACGACCAGTATTGTGCTTTTTGTTTTCAAATGCCATGCCAAATCGTTTGTTGCTAATGCCACACGATTTAAAAGTACACTTGTGGTATAAATCAGAGAGGTAGCAATGCCATTTAGCAAGAGGGTTCGGCTTTCAGTTGGGATGAGTAATGTCGACGAAGTTATTACATGCAGCACATGCATATATGCGTATCCCATTGCCTCACGCCCTCCAATCTGCGCTGTTAGACTGGACGCGAATGATGAGAGCCCATGCACTAACGTCCAAACACTCATTCAAAAGGACAGACATACGGTGGGAGGAATGAGGTTGTATCGCGATAGATGCAGTTATGATCATTCGCTTTGCATAAGCTTTACTAGTATCATCGTTTCAGCAAAATGAGGCGTTATGCATACTGTTGCGAGCATGGGCGCTCTAGTGAAAATGTTCTCCTCGCATGGCTGATTACTTGGATCACCAAAGGCAAGCACCATGCTTGGCTCAACTGGCTGCTCACAAATTGCCTGTTTACTAACGCCACCCCTCAATGATAGGGATGAGTTGGATTGGCATTCATTGGGATGAACCTCTCCACCTTGGGACCGCATCCTTCTGCTCAACTTACGACCGCGTCGTTGGGATTTTGAGCACGAAGCATTGGTCTTTGGTGTTGACGCTGACGTGCTTGAAAGGCTGACGACTGTTTCGGTAAAAGGCGACGCATTTTGCAAGGTCGCACAAATCTCTCTGTACCTCCCTTCTTCCCGTCTTCTAACTACCTTCTCTTTCTGTTCACCAATGACCGCCTTACGACAGCTCACCGTTAGAGATAATTGTTCACACGCTCCTAGGTGCTGAAGATGATGGCAGTGATTGGCAAGGGGTTGGAGCAAGGACTGGCTTCTAACAGCGGAGTCAGCAACGCCTTCTTCAAGGAGGAGAATGCTGTTTTGGCGCTGTAGACACAAAAGAGGAGTGGTAATGGAGTGGTTAATGCAATGATGGAGAGGGGATGATGGAAGTAGGTTGTGACAGAATGAAGAACTCATTGGAAAGGCGTAGTGTCTCCTTTCACTGCGCTTCAAATTACATTGATTTTCAAACGCTGAAGGCTGCATTTTGCCCAGTAGGATGTCTCCACTTCTGCACGTTAGTAAGTAGTATGCATCATCACAGCACTTCTGTCTGTTGCACTCGTAGCGCACCAAAAAAATAACGACTGAGTCATTGATGTGGACAGTTTGCAATTGCAATCCACCTAGGTCATGTGTAAATGCAGCTAACTCCATGTCCCACGCAAATAGGATGAAAGGTAATGCGGAAGTGCAGAGGTCATCGGGTGGGCGCATGAGAAGCCAGTTTTAACTCCCCTCCTCCAAATCGGTCAACCCGTGGACGTA